AGGCAACCCACCGAGTCATATAATTTTGAATCTGTCTCGTTCTCCAAGACAGACTCAAAACTAGGGGGGCATGTGATGGATTAGGGATTTTTCCTAATCCAATATTATTTGAATAGTACAAGAAAGCCCAATTTTATCTCGCCCAAGATATAAATCAGATAAATAATTCAAGACAGAACCAGAGATATATGGACAGAAGAATATATATTTGAGGTGATATAAAAATATTCCGTGAAGCTCATTTACAAAACATGTGCACATGGAGGTGACATGGCCACCTCATGGCATTGTTGGGGATGCATGCATGTACTCCCCTTTAAATACAAGGCTACGCAGGACGGAAGGGGGGAGGCCAAGGCTAGATTCATACAAGTTCCTACTACTATATTCTTCATTCTTCTTCTTCTTTTAGCTTGGAGCTCCATTAATGACTCCAAGTTCCTACAATGATGTATATGTAAACTCCCCCAAGATTAATAAAAGTTCCTCCCCTTTGGCATGACACCGCCTAAAAAGGTCCGTGATTTTCTCCCGATTTGGATTTCCACGTATAAATATTTTCTCTCCGCTTTATTTATTTACTTAATTTCCGGATTTCGTTATTCGGTGCGGTGCCGACCCGGTACCGATTTCATCGGGTCGACGCCCCGAAAAGGCGGTTTCCATCAATTCCAATTAGCTATTAAGGTATGTAATTAAAAATTTGTAAGATTATAAATTGACATGTGTCTCGTTTGAATTTCTTACGAAACTCTAATTAAAAAATTGATGGTTCTTATCTATGGTAAACCCCTCACCTCAGTATGACCCGAACCCTCCTCCTTCAATTGCATTTCACAAAGTTTAGTTGACTTTAGTTTTATTTTTCACTTCAAAATTAACTAAATCTTGTATGTTGTAATTGATGGGGTGAGGGTGTGTTCGGGTTGGTTCAGATACACGGGTTGGCTAGGAGTTAGGGAATACTCTCTCTATTCCATAAACTCCTCTTTTCTTTTTTCTTTGTCCAAAAAAATTTCTTCTCATTTTTATTAATGAACTATTTTTACACCTATTAATTCATACAATATCTATCAGAATAGAATATATCTTTTTACTAATAATCTACCCATTATATTTAATTTTTAGCTATCAAGCTTTTTTTGGAAAATCAATCAAAAATATCTCTGACGTAGGAAGTATTTGTTGAGTAAAATAAATTAGGAAAAATTACCTAAAATAATCCCAATTTTACCCGGTCTTTCAAAAATAATCACACCTTTCACTGTGATGCATAATAATCCCAACTTTATTGAGATTTGCCAGTTTTGTGTCGCCTTTAAGTTTCTAACGGAGGGTTAACGGAAATGCCCGTTTTAGGCAACAAAATAAAAGTTGGGATTATTTTTGATGAATTTTTTTTTATTTTTTTTTTTGAAATTTTTTATATAAATTTTTTGGATTACTTTCAACCTCCATTTTTTTTCTTTTTTAAAGATTATTCTTACCTTAGAAAAAATAGATATAAACATAATGAAAATGAGAAAAATAACTAAAACTATACAAAATTAATCAAATAAATAATGTAATCAATATAAATTAAACAGAAACTGGTAAGAAATAAAATAAGTATATATGGAGTGGTGGGTTTTAACATTTTACATGCTATACGGAGTCTTAATGTACTACTTATTTTTTAAAAGAACAAGCCGTCCGGTAAAGTTGGAATTATCGTAGATAATTTTTTCTAAAAAATAAGAAGTGATATGTTAATACTTTGTATAATGCGTAAAATATTAAAATCCACCCATATATTTTTATTTTACTTTTACCAATTTTAAGTTAGTTTACATTGATTACCTTATTTATTTTATTATTTTTGTATCATTTTAGTTACATTTCTCATTTTTTCATTTTTATATCTATTATTTTTATTTTTTAAACTAAGATTAATCTTTAAAAAAGGAAAAAGAAATGATAATGGAGGTAGAAAGTAGTTTAAAAACTTTAAATGAAAAATTTAAAAAAAAAACAAAAATGAAAATTCATCAAAAATAATTCCAACTTTCATTTTGTTGCCTAAAACGGGCATTTCCGTTAACCCTCCGTTAGAAACTTAACGGCGACCCAAAACTGTCAAATTTAAGTAAAGTTGGGATTATTATGCATCACGGTGAAAGGTGAGATTATTTTTGAAAGATCGAGTAAAGTTGGAATTATTTTAGGTAATTTTTCCAATAAATTATCTACATAATTTGAGTGCAAAAGATGAAGTATAGCTCAAAGGCCCTCCTTTGCAGCCTTTGTTTTCTTTTTATTCCTGCCTCAAGCCGCCGCTGTTTTATTTACTTCCCGCTGCAACGCTCCATCACCGGAATCCTTCTTCCGCCCTATATATGGTCGCCGCCTGCCGTCTTTTCACTCTTCCTTAATTTTGACATATACGCAATAGTTGCCGGAATTCATACCCCGTCGTTACTCTCTCTCTATCTGCTCGACCTTGTTCGGCCACTACTCCATAATCCCCACCGCCTCACTGCTGGACTGCTTGTACTATTTTTGTTTGATTTCAGCACAACCGATCGGATTGTGAATGGCTCTAACACTATTGAGTGGTAGCTCTAGGGCGTCATCATTCTATGCGCCACAAAATAATGGCATTTTACCACGGGAATTGACCAAGGGAAAACCGTTTATGCTCCGCCTCCCGCATTCAAGCCTTGTTTCAAGAAGAAATGGCAGCAGCAAAGTGGGATATGCGGATTCAGGGAGTAGGAAATTTCCCCTGTCCATATGCAATCAAATAAGGTTCATGTCTTCCCAATCAATCCACTCTCTGAGGGCAAAGTGTCCGGTAGCTTCAAATTTTGATGTTTCTGCTGTGGCAGATGATACCCTCTCTGAGGATTCAGGCAGAGAGCTCCAGTAAGACATGATCTTTCAGCTTTATTTATTTTCCGTTTTGATTTTCAATTTCCTTGCCACTATGTATTGATTTGTCATATTCTCAGAGAGTTAAGTGACACTGTTTCTTCTGAAACCGATGGGATTGGGAATCTCTTGGCAGACTCTACTGCTGCTTCAAATCACTCCCGGGATATAAAAGGCGAACTTCTCTCGCTCTCGTTACCGGCACTTGCTGGTCAAGCCATTGATCCTCTGGCACAATTGATGGAGACTGCTTATGTTGGCCGCTTGGGTAAGATTATGCACGTATGTGAATTGCTTATTCATTATTCAAAACTCTATCACTATATTCAAAATATATTGTATTAACCACATTGCGGCTTATCTCATATGCCAAATATCTATACAACCCATATATGCAATGCTATTGTTTACTTTTCCTTTTTTTTAAAAACACTTTTCGTTCTGTAAGGTGTTTGCCATTTACTATTCCTAGGTGGGAGAACCAAATGATTTTGTTTATTTCAATTGTTGAGTCCAACTGGAATCACACAATGCCCTTCGATATTGGGCTGTTTTCTAAGTGTTCCATTATTGACTGGATTTTATTATTTGATCTTATATAGGTTCTGTGGAGTTGGCCTCTGCTGGTGTTTCTATATCACTTTTTAATGTCATTTCAAAACTATTTAACATTCCTTTGCTCAGCGTTGCGACCTCATTTGTTTCCGAAGATATTGCAAGGACTGAGGCTGGATTTTCCCTGTCAGGTGACACACAGCTGAATTTTTATAATTATCTATTCTTTATATAGATATAATATATAATGTATAAATATGACTGAATGTGTTATACTGATAGAGCATATTAGTGGATCTGCACATTGGTAGTCCCTTACATTAATACTATCGACTCCCTTTTTCATTTTAAAAATATGGACTAAGATTCTAAAATAAATGTAATATTTATTAACTTACTATCATTCTATACATTTTCTTAATATGAATATAGATGATTCTCATGTAAGACAAAGGAAGTGTTTCCAGTGTAATTCCTCTAAGGTTTCAGGATCAGATTCATGAAAGAAGGGGCAGTTTGCTCAACAGTGTTAAATGTCTATTTCTGGTTCTCTTGTTCACCTGTTAATCTGTTATGCAGAAGGGGATCAAGGCAGCAGCAGTACACCTTTCAGGGGCAAAGCAGAGCGGCGCCAGCTTTCTTCTGTTTCCACAGCATTACTTTTGGCAGTCTGCATTGGCATTGTTGAAGCTCTGGCCTTGTATTTGGGATCTGGTCCACTTCTGAGTTTGATGGGCATATCACATGTATGTTAATTTCTATAGCCAATTATATACGCTGTTGATTGTATGCCTATGAAATACGAATGCATTTGTGTTGATGTGAAGTCTTTAAACAATGGTAATGTGACATTTTGCGTAGTTCCTTCACTTTATTGTCTTGCTTGTGTAAAGTACTCAAATTTATACAGTATATGAAAAGAGAATTTTCACCTAGAAGACTCATTTATTTGATTCTTATAGAAGTTAATTTGCTTCATCAAATGGTAATTTCAACTGATACTAATTTCTATGGAAAATGATAAGAAGTGCAAAAGAAACTTGGATAAACAACAGGCTTAACTAAAGCGGAAAAATCCCTTTGAAATAAGTGGAAAGATTTGGATGCAGCCATGTAGACCATTATGGCATTATGTCTAAATGAGATTACTACTGGGTCATGATAATACTTTCTACTTCGTATTTTTTCTTTATTCTTATTAGTACTAAAGCAAGATTGTCCCTTTACTTTTTCATGTTATTTTTTTTATTACTAAAGAAGCTATTTTGATAATAGACATCCCCCATGCGAGCACCAGCACAACGATATTTAGCTCTGAGAGCTCTTGGTGCTCCTGCATTCGTAGTTTCTTTGGCTCTTCAAGGCATTTTTCGTGGTTTTAAAGATACAAAGACTCCTGTCTTCTCTTTAGGCAAGTTTCATAAAGTCTGGATGTTAACTGTTTGATTGCATCATACACTCACAAAAAGATAAGTTTCCTTTCATATTTAAACACAGTTGCTTGCTAGCTGCTGCAACTTGCAAGTTCAGAAGTATCTTTCAATCAGAAGTTAATTTTAACATGTATCTCTGGTTGTTATGCTCTTCATTTGATTTCCAACATTGTGATTTGTTGAATTCCTTCCTTTTGCAGCTATTGGAAATTTTATAGGTGTAGTTTTGTTTCCAATACTTATGTTCTACTTCCGTCTGGGTGCATCTGGAGCAGCCATATCCATTGTGTTATCCCAGTATGCCAACTGTTTATTCATCTGCTTTCATCTTATGTATCTTTACATTATACATCATCTTGTTTCCTTCGTTCTTTTTTATTCAAGTGAAACTTGCATTGAACTTTAATTCCTAGATACTTGGTGAGCTTTTCGATGCTATGGTGCTTAAACAAGAGAGCTGTGTTGCTGCCTCCAAAACTGGGAGGATTACAATTTGTTGGCTATCTAAAATCTGGTGAGTTGATATGCAAGTGGGAAATTATATGGAATACCAGAGCCTTTGATTACGGATCATCATACGGAGTATCATTTATTAGAGGTCCGTTTTCTATTTTGGTGCTGTTAGGTGGTTATCTTCTTGGGAGGACACTTTCGGTCCTTTTCACCATGACCCTTGGAACATCAATGGCTGCTCGCCAAGGTCCTGTAGCAATGGCTGCTCATCAAGTCTGTTTGCAAGTTTGGTTGGCCGTCTCCCTGCTCACGGATGCGCTTGCTGCATCTGCACAGGTGAAGTGCAACATTTCTCTGTGTTTGTTTCTCATTCCAATTGGCATTTCAGCTATCTTAATTTGCTCATGTTTTGTTCAGGCACTTATTGCCGGCTACTCATCAAAAGGTGATTATAGGGTTGTTAGGGAGATCTCCAACTTTGTTATGAAGGTTTGTGCTTGGCAGTTATTGTAAGATTATTTTTACTAAGGCATATAAGTTGCGTATGTACAACTAAACTCATATGTGTTTCTCATTTTAAATTTTCATCTTGGTTTCATTAGATTGGAGTGGTTACTGGTGTCATTTTAGCGGTTGCACTCGGTGTTTCTTTTCCTTCTATGGCAACTCTCTTTACTCAAGACATGGAAGTACTAGGGATTGTCAAGACTGGTGTATTGGTAAGCATGCAATGCAACTCTTTAGCTTCTACTGATTTGATTTGATGATGCATTCATTCCGTAAAAGTGGATGTATAGTAGTTGTTGTTAGTTCCTTGTCAGATATTTCAGTTTTCTCTAATTAGAAATAACTGCAGTTTGTGAGTGCCAGTCAACCAATCAATGCACTGGCTTTTATTTTTGATGGTCTCCATTATGGGGTTTCAGATTTTGCGTATGCAGCTCATTCTATGGTAAGTTTTTCTCCCCTTTTTTCCACATGGTGCATGAGGTGTTATTAGGCATATTGACATTATTATACCATAATAATACTCCGTAATACAATTCTTTTTTGATGGGTTACAGATGGTGGTGGGTGCAATATCATCTGCATTTTTGTTCTACGCTCCAAGAGCGTTTGGCCTGCCAGGTGTTTGGTTGGGCCTGACCCTATTCATGGGATTGCGAATGATGGCTGGTTTTATAAGGTAAATTGACAGCTTGGATGCATTAGGCTAATTAAAAAGACTAGGGATGCTGATGTCGTCTTTTGCTTTTCAGGATTATGTCTAAGGATGGCCCTTGGTGGTTCTTGCACTGTGACATGAGTAGTTTGAAGGTGAGTGACTGTGTTGCGTAGTTTTGTTTTTATTGGAATGGATAACAGACACGCTTACTTTATGTTTTGCAGGAGGGCTCCCAGGGTCAAAAGCACGCACGATGATTCCGCCCAACTAATTTTGTCGATGTAGTGGGAGTTATATTTGGGTATGTACTTTCATCTGCACATGCATTTTGATATGTTGAGCAATATTGTTTTAAAAGGTTGAAATGTTGATTTTCTTGAGTACTGTTTTTCTACAAACCATCATCAAGAGCAACTCCGAACGGAAGAGGTATATTGAGAAGGTATATATTGTTTATTTACCTTCCCAAAAAGGTAAATATACCTTCATAAAAGGTTGAAAATTTCAAGGGTAGAACTTAGATACATACATACATACATATATGTATATATATAAGCTATGAAAACGTAGGTTCATTTCTTATTAGTAGGTACTACAAAGTTATGAGAGCAGTTAATAAGGCTTTTTTCGTGATATATAGAGCAGTCCATATTCACCTACGGCTATGTTTGCTAAAAATGAATGTTGAGAGACACAAATGCTTGGTAAAGAAAACAAATACTCCCTCCGTTCCATAATGTTTACCCATTTCAAATTACGATCTCTGGACAACTCTTATTTGTATGCGTTTTTTCATTGATTATTTGATAAAATAAAATATTCTTGTCACCTCTTGTTTTGTAGAGTTTTCGATGAAGTTTTTAAATATAAATTTTTATTTTATATTTTTTTACTAATTTGTTAATAAAATCATTTTAAAATTTATGGGATGAACAAATACTACGTATACAAAATCAAGTACCCGCACGGGTAGCTCAAGTGGCAAACACTTGGTGAAGTTTGGAGAATGACCAAGGATCGAAACCTGGCAGCGACCGTTGTGGAGGCGACCACCTCTGAAAAATGGAGGGAGTCTCTGGTGCGCACTAGGATATGGTCTAGCTAAGTGTTGTGTTGTGCTTGGGTCACCGTGATTTACCTCCTCTCACATTCCCGTCAGGTCGGGGGTGAGGGGCGCCCGGGATGAGCGATTTCACCTTTGGAGAACGTATACAAAATCAAGTGAGAGTGATGCATGAATCGACCCAAACCTCCCTAGTGGTAAGTGAGTTTGAATTTTTTATTGATTTTGGTTTATGGTTTGTATTTTCGGTTCGAATAAAAAAACTTCCAACTTTCTCCAATTTTTTTTCTATCAATTTTTTTCAATTCAACTTCATCTATGTTATGTTTTTCTATAGTTTCTTTCTTCTTTTAGTTTTTTTGAATTCAATTTCATTTATATGTTTGGGAACATGGAGTCATATTTCAAGTTCAGATTTGGCTCAAATTTCATGTTCGAAAACTCAAAAATTTGGATTGGATTTGAGTCAAATTCTTTTCATTTATAAAAAGGTTCAATTTGAAATTCATACACATCTCTTCATTTGAAATCCATACGCTCCCCTTATATTTGTTTTGTAATTTTTTCAAATATTTTTTTTATTTAATGAATATATCATATATTTTTATGTAATTGTAAGTTAAAAGTTGAAAATAATTGATTGTAAAATATTTCAATTTGATAAATATTTAGAGTCTGAGCTTCAAATATACTTTTAAAAAATTATAATACTAAACCATTTTTTGTTAATTAATTAAAATGTTAAACTAACTTTTGTAAATTAATTAAATACACTTTTAATTAATTAAAATGTTAAACAATTTTAGTATATATTTATTAATTATGGAGTATTTGATAGAATAAATTTATTTTGTTATTATTTAATTTATAGAACTTTAGATATAAATTTTTGATATAGAATTTTGATGTTTTAATTTTTACCTATTTTTAATTATATACACCCTATTGATTTAATAATAACTTTTGTTGAACAATTATAAAGGAACCTTATTTTGGGAGATATTTAAGGACGAAAAGTTTGTTTTTTGTTTTCTACTTTTCTTACTCCCATAGAAGTCCCACACTGACTTTAGAGTAACTATTTTTCTTCTTAATAGTTAGCCCCCCTAACGGTAGAAATGTCTGATTAGCTTAATTGGATACTTAAAACATATAATATATACAAATGTATATTATTTATATTTAAAGTATCTCTGTGTACAATCTTCCTGAAATTTTACATTTGCCACATGTAATTTTTTTGCAAAGAATTGGTAATTTTATTAAATAAGAAAATGAAGAGTAATAACCAAAACTAATACCCTATAGGCTCAAAACAAAACTAATCACGGCTATCTCATGGCTCGAATTGAACAAAAGCTAGGATCATGTTATTAAAACCATCTATAGTCAAGTGAATCACATCTTTTGTTCAATGCGATATGTACAACGAGATGAAACAAATGCTAAGCGATCCAAATAGTCTACCTGCTAAATCCATCAAGAATGCGTTTTCAAAAAAAAAAAAGGGTAACAATAGATGACAATAAACCTTGGCAGGTAGGTAATGAGTCATAACAACAATGGAGTATTACTGAAAGAATAGGGTAACAATAGTAGGGTTGAAGCAGAAAAGCGATCATGGGATTGCACGTAATTCTCCGGTTTGAAGAGAAAACATTCTGTGATGGGAGAGAACAGAAGGGGCTGCTGCTGTGAATGCTGCGTGTACCCTTGAAGCCAGGTTGTGATTGCGGTCATCATATGATGATTCTTTTGCAGCTGCTTCTTCTTTGATGGAATGCTTCAGCACTGTCTGCAGAATTTGGAGGGGATCGCCATGGCTCACGATCAACACCGCGCAACTGCAATCACACAAAGCCACGCAATATTATTATTGTTCAGCTCCTTCAATTTATGCTGCTGCTGCAACTGCTAATACTACATCGGGTGCGTGGGGGATCGTGTTGTTTAATTGTTACCCTTGAAAAGCGGACTCGATGGTGGTCAGTGCATTTGCAAGTCTAGAAACAACATCTGCAACACTTTCTCCGCCCCCATTATCTGGACGAGCAAAGGGATCCCCCTCATCCAATGCCCAAATCTCGGGGTACTGTCATGTCAAACAAGCAAACATCGAAAGGCAACCCAACAATAATAACCCAGTAAGATCACAACAATAACCTAGTAGAACCACACGGATGGGCGCCTGAGGGGATAGCATACAGCTCATGTAAGCATACCCTACGTACCCCAAATTCGAAATATAGATGATGATGATGAAGATACACAAAATGCTTGAAAAGGAAGATGTGATGTCTTTCTTTACTTTACCTTCTCATGTGACATAAGCTCGTAAGAAGGACCAAAGTAGCGCTCGCGAAGATCATCTATAACCTGCTAGCTTAGAGAAACTGTTAGTCCTTTCTGAGGTGAATAGATGATGATCATAAAATTGGAGAACAATGAAAAGAATAGAGGGCCAAACCATGAGCTGCGGGGAAGATGGAAGACGGGAAGCTACTGCCTGCGCGGTATGGCTGGTCCTTGAGAAGGGGGAGTGGCAGATTCGCACCTTCTCAAGCTCAATCTTGTTACGCTTCAACTCCTGCAACGGAACAGCGAAAAAATGAAGATGGAATTCCTTCGGGGTCCCAATCTCAGATCAAAACACAAGGCTTGGATGCTTTGAAATCTCGAAATTTATACTGGAAATTCGATGGATTTGAAAATTTTTGGACAATGAGAGATCGTTACATCTGCCTAAATTAATTTGTGTCCAAATACTCCACAGTGATGAGTACTGAAATGAGTAAATGGATGCTCAGCAATAATTACCTCCCAGAATGAGTCCCCTGCAGATCGAGCTTGTTCGATTCCCGCTGGAGCTAATCCGTATTTCTCGAGGATGCCATTTTCCTGGCGGCCCAAACAGAGACATCATTCAATTCAATGGAGACGAAGGAGAGGGAGAACTGAGAGAGAGAGTGAGAGAGAGAGCTGACCATGGAGGAAACAATAAGTCCCAATTCATTGGGGATGCTTTTACCATGTCTGAGCACCCAATACTTATTTCCAATAATGCAATCGCTACTGCCCTCCATCGCTTAATCGCGTGCGTCTCCCTAGGATCAATACGAGCCGCCGTGTCGCCTGCCGGATTTTATCACTCCTTCGCCCAACTTTCTGCCTTCCCCCGTTCTTTAACCAAAACTGTTTGGTTGATGTGGATCGAGTCTAACAATCACGACTGTTCTGCACCACCACCACCTCCTTTTGATATCTCATACTCCTGTGTTAAAAAAAAAATATTATTCAAAAGTTATGAAATTTTTTCATTTATGCATTTTTATTGATAATTTGATAAAATAAAAAATATTATTTGTATTGTATATTTTTTTACGTGATTTTTAAATATAAGTTTTTTATACTATGAATTTAATATCAATATTTAAAAAAATTATAAACTAGAAATTATGTTTAGTTTTGCATAAAAGCTAAAAAAAAAAATTGGAATAAAGTGAATATAGAAAATACTCCATATTTCTTTCCTTGCATTTAGTCTAATTTGACTTATGTTTGTCAAAATTTGTAAACTTTGACCCTAGTATGTAGAAAAAATATATTGTATTTTGACATAAAAGCAATATCAATAGTATATTTTGAAATACTTTTAATTATTAGTTTTTTACAAAATATTTTTAGAATTTTTGACATTTTTAATAGCATTAAATAGACATAGACCAATTTAAAACTAATTATCAATAAGTTCACAAATAGGTTTAATTGTTAATTAATGGACGTGTGAGATAATTTGATAAATTATACTCGTACTAAAAAGTTACGGAATGGTGAATTAAATTTTGATTCTCAAAATTAAATCATATTAATGTGTTAAAATAGGTGCATTTCGTTCATCTTATCTTATCTGATTTATTGAAGATCTAATTTCATCCGATTTGATCTAATTGTAGTTTTATTTAAAAAAAATTCTGATATAATTTGATCTAATTTAACATGATTATAATAAGAATAAGTAATTAATTAAAAAATAAATTGAATAGAACTGTGTGTGTGTCTATGGAGTATATATATAGAACCATCCTCTATTATTTTTAGACAATACTCCGTATATTTAAAAAATATCCTCTCTTACTGCCTAGATGAAATTTTTTTAAAAAATAAAAAAATAGAATAAAAAAAGAGTTCTTATGTAAGAAGATTGACAAAAATAATATGCACCTAAGGTGCATTATAGAAATACTCTTTTGGGTAATAGCCATCCCACCGTGAACTGCGAATGTCCTCTTTCTTCCTTTTTTAACCAATCAAAATAATATAGGAGTATATCTTTACTCATCACTTTTTTTTGTCGTGTCTCTTTTTTAAATTTACAAAACACATATTTTTATGAAAATAAGTAAAAAAAATATGTAAATAAAAATCAAATAAAATGTATGATGGAGAAAGGGTGGTGTACATTTAGGATACATTTTTTGATGTACCCCTAGCATTGCCTTATTTTTATTACTTCATATTTCTTTAAATTTTGTCAAATCCGCATAAATAGGGGTGGACACGGTACGGTTCCGGTTCCGGAACCGCCGGTTCCGGTACCGCCACCCCGAGTAACCGGATAGTATACCGTGCCGGCCGGTACCGGTTCCGGTTCCCGGACCGGCGGTTCCGGTTCCCGGACCGGCGGTTCCGGTACCGGACCGGCCGGTTTCGCCCCCCCCCCCTATTTTTTTTTTAATTTTTAAATTATAAAAAATTGCAATTGTAAAATTGCAATTGTTTAAAAATTGCAATTGTTTAAGGAAAGAATGCAATTGTTTCGCCCCCCACCTTTTTTTTTTTAACTTTTTTGCATTTCAAATCAAAAAAAAAAAAAAAAATTATACCGGTACCGGAACCGGACCGGTACCGCCGGTACCGGTACCAAAAAATAGGTACCGCAACCGGTACCGAAAGTGACGGTACCGGTACCGGTTCCCGGAACCGGTGACACGGCGACCTTGCCGGTGACGGTGGCGGGTACCGGCGGTACCGTTGCCGGTGACGGTACCGTACCGGTACCGTGTCCACCCCTACGCATAAATCCGGTAAAGCTTAACATAACACATGGTTTTATTATTGTTTATGTCCACGTAAGAATCAAACAATTATTCGGTACAGGCCTTATCTGATCGCCGCACGCGTCAGTATTTTGGGAAAAAATAACAACAGGATACATACATTATACCGGAGTAGAGTATATTTCTTTAAATAATCACAGGAGCAGCTTTTTCATTATTAACTACACGGCCGGCCAGCTTAATAATTAAGGAAGGAGAAACTTCTACGAACTCTAGTGCGTGCTTACGTGTCTAGTGGTGGCCAGCAGCGTGGTGGTGGTGGTGGTCATCACACGTTTGAGAGCAGCCGCTGCCGCCGTCTAGGGCTATGTCCGTGACCTGCAATCCCGTGTCATATATCCCCCCGTTTTTCCAGTCCCACGGCAACACCTTTTTATTAGCCCAATACCACTTGCCGTCGTACCCCGCCGTCACCACGAACCGGAATTGCAACGCCCCGCTCGGCGGGGGCGCCCCAACCGTCTCCCAAATGGCAGCGGCACCTCCTCCCTGCAGCTGTTTACGGCGGCTCATATACATCCAATTGGGCGACCCCACCTGACGACGACCTGATGCTGCTGCTGCTGCTACGTCGACGGACACAATTTCGGTCTGGCCGGCTTGGTATAGGAACTGAATGGCAAGGCGATTAGGCTTCTGGCTGCTCTCGTCAACGCGGATGGCTAAATTCCTGCTCTTATATTCATCACAAGGCACCCTGTTTGTTTTACACATATACACACACACATACATCATACATTATATTATCAACTCGATCCATCACTTCATTAATCAATATAAATATAAACACATTTGGCCTGTGAGACAATGGAATTAATAAGAACGCAGGTAGGTATGTAGATAGGTACCGACCGTTGATATTCGACGTGGTCGAGGAGAGTGTCAAAAAGGTGTTGTCGTTGTTGTTGGTCCTTTTTGCTGTTGCCGGCAGCATCAGCAGCAGCCATGGCCATGAGAGCTCTACTGCTTATCACGAAATGGGTTTGGGCATTGGCGTTAACATAATAATCAGTTACCATTACTGTCGTCCCTTCTTTCTTGCACACAATATGGTCTTTGCATCTTAACTGTGCGCCATCCAAATCATAAATAAATAAATAAATAAAATCAACCACATACTATATATAATTCATTAACTAGCTAGCTAGGTAGTACCAAATCAAGAAGGTCAGGCTAGCTAGCTATAGCTAAAGCAGGGGGCGTGGCCGGGTGGGAATAATGGATGGATGGATGACCGCAGGTATGTACCTGAAAACATGCACCGCAAGCAGCGCCATCCTTGTAGAGTTTTGGGGAGGCTGCTGCAATTCGTCCACCGTAGAAACCAACAGCCATGGAGCCATATCCACAAGCACCAGCTGCCATTATATGCCACCAACCCATCTATTCCATCAGTATATGTAAAATATATGGCGCGCATCAAGTAACTAATCTTATATGTATGCCACACTTACAGTTGAGGGCAGAAGCGTTGGAAAACAGAGAGACTCTGGCGTGGTGGAAGCAGCCATCGCATGTCGCCTCAGATGCCGAAGAGATGCTGCCGGCGGTGCAGACGGCGAGGAGGATTGCGACGGCGGCGCAGAGGAAGCTATGTTGGTCACACCCCATTATATTTCACAATAATTAAAATACTACTCCGACTTCAATTCGAACAATTTTATACTTGGGCACCTGCTAGCTAGCTACTACCTCTTTATCTTTATCTACGTATGTATGTATATATAACGATTACCGAGTATATAGGGAATGTATGGAGAATTATTGGATGGCTTCTTTGTTTGAACTGGGGATAAGAAAATGACTCCTAATAAGAGGACAGGTCAAGTCAGAGGTGGAAGATATATATGTACGCGCAATGTAACGCGGAATAGCAAAAGTATAATTGTCGTGTATATTACTCCGTATATACTCTTTCTTCTCTCTTAATAATTTTTCCTATTTTAATTTTTTTAATAAAAAAATTATATACTTTAATAAAAATTTAAGATAATCTAAATAAATAAATATTATAAAAATTAAAGTGTCATTAATTAATTAAAAAAATCAAAAAAAGAAAAAAAAAAGAATTTTTCGAACGACTATATGGCATTACAGACAAAATCGCCGCCCAACTATAGTACCCAGCATATACCAACAAGTAGATACATTTACGAGTTGTAATTACAGCTGGAGGCAAACTAGACAGCATATGGAGTTCATGAATATTAGATCAATAAACTAAGCGTTGTTTTCATTAGCATCCCAACTTTTATGTTTGGTTCAAGGAATTTGAAAGGGAAAAGAAAAACAATAAGAGAGAAAATAGTTTTTCATGTTTAGTTAGAGAGAAAAGGTGGAAGGAAAAGAAAATGACAAGGCAAAATATACTAAGGGGACGAAAAATCAAAATCCTTCCATTTTGGTGAAAAAAAGGAAAGAAAACGATTTTTTTTCAAGATTACTTGAACCAAACATAGTGTTAGAATTTTAGCAATACTCCAACTCTAGATTGTGACAGAAAGATGAGGATGATTCTCATGACATTGAAACTCCATGTCATGAGATTTTCATCTTACCCCTTAGCCCTTCCGGTAAACCCCCATCCCGTTCTGACCCAAACACATCCTCTACCCCTTCAATTGTAATCCAATTATGAATTTTGAAACAAAAATGCAACCCAAGCCGGTTTCTAAGTCACCACTAGGTCACAAGGACCAAAACTATAACATCTCATCTTTATTTTATTATACTTTTGACCACATTGATTTCTTGTTCAATTAAGCCAAATAAAATTACACTTTTATCCCCATATTTTTTCTATTTCTACTAAAAATCACTACTTCATAGTTAATTTCAATTAGAGGTACCAAAGAGGCAGTGGCGGAGCCAGAAGTTTACTAGCGGGGGGGCACACTGCATGATTTGGGGGGCGGATTTTTTCTTAAGGTCGATATAAAATGAAAAAAAAAATATTTTTCTCAAATGTTCAAATCATTCAAAATATAACCATGACATCGTTATTAATTAGAGTATAAATATTATTCTTTTTTTCAAAAATACAGTTTGGGTATCTAATATTTAATTGTCCAATCCTATAGTTCCAAATAAAATATTAGAAATCACCCTAAATAGAACTAGAATATAGGGAAAAGTACCAATATATGACTTTTATGTTTTTTTCTTGAAATATGACTTTGCACTGTAGTAAAGTAGCACTGTACATGTGCACATTACTATACTTTTTTGGTAATGTAAATGGCCATGTTTGGTAATGTAAATCCTATTTCGAGAATAAAACATAGAAGTCCTATTTTGGTATATGTTCATGGTTTTAGTCTTATTTTGGTCCTTCTCCCATAAAATATTACGTACTAGTTATATCATTACTTGAACACAAACAAAATAATTGGATGTCCCATACAAAATAAAAAAATACCAGTATAAATAAACAACAACTCAAACTAGAGATTACACAATCTCCGCCCGGCAATTAAATTACTACTCCTTTTTTTTCTCTTACCAATACTTTTATTTATTAATGTGTTTTCATTGATTATTGAATAAAATAAAATATTTTTATTATCTCTTACTTTATAGAATTGACATAGTTTTTAACATTACGAGTAAAATTTTATTTTTTATTTTTATACTAATTTTTAAATAAAATAATTTCAAAAATACAAAAATTTATCTCGTAGTTCTAATAAATTGGGGGAGAAGAAATGAGAAAATATGAATTTATCATCAATCTTCACTAAAAAGTGAAACAAGCCTACCAAGTACCACTTTATACTTTATCCGGAGTTTTTTTTAGAGCAATGCTAGGGGTACCCCTAGCATTTTTCTTTTTTTACCCTAATCCGCTTAAACGTTTAGGCCCATATCCTTATTTATCAATCGAAGGGTAATTGATGTCGTTTTATATCACTGAAAAGATGCTATGATGCTGCAACAGAGAACAAGATTGGAATCTTTGAACCACTCTACAAGCAGCTGGCCTGGAAATAATATCCCTACGCCGGCGCCTCTCTGGGGGGCACGTGCCTGGGCAGGCCCCCCCCCCCCCCCC